TTTGGCCACAGAGGAGGTGCTAGCATGGGTTTCCAACAGCATCCTACAGTGGGAGGCAAGAGCCAAGGGTTTAGGGAAAACTCTGAACCGAGTTAGTGAAAGTGACACTAAGCTCAGGGTATTGTAAGTGGGGTGATTCACTGTGTGAAACTAGAATTGCAGAGAAAATTAAGATCCTGAGTTCTGCTGATTTCCTGGGAAACTTAAGAGGAAATATACTGTTAATCTGAAACTCACTACCTGTTCCGGTTTAGAGGTAGGTCTCTTTGCCCTGGGTAGACCAGCTGCTTGCTCTTCATGGTCGTGGTTTCCTTCACTCAGCACCCTGCAGCAGCTGTAACATACTGCTTCTACAGGGATGACTTGTGTTCGTGTAAACGGCAGTGTAAACAGCACTCGTGTCAGATCAGCAAGGAGTGGATGTTTTTCAGCAGTTTCATGAACAGAATATTTAAAAATGGGTAGATTTAATCCATGTAAAATGTTGCATTCTGTATTAATCAGTTTCAAAACTGAATCATAGGATGGTAAAAATAGAGCTCCAAAAATAAAACTCATCAGTAGAGAGAAAAAGTTTGAAAAAGCTCTAGTTTGCTCTTGGTTTCAGGAGATAGGTAACGCTTTCTCGTGTTTAATTTTCGTAATGGTTCCCTCTTCAGTTATTCATTTCTTTCTCACTGTTTTGCAAGGCAGATGGTACTCATTCACTTGTTTAGCAACAAGTATTTTTGTGTTACGTGCGCCTGCCTGGGAGCTGGGTGATGGGAAGCAGTTTGGTTTCCCGGCCCCGTTGGAAAGACAGAGGTGAGCAGATCACAGAATGCCCGTGAACAGTTAGCCTCACGCGGGTCCCGCGGAGAGCACGCTCCTACTCATGCCGGGACTCATAGTCGTCATCTTTAAGGATCTTCCCTGTAGCCGTATTTGAAAAGACGTTCAACAAGGCTGGTAGTTGTAGGTTTTGCAGCAAAATGTTGAAAAAACTCATCAGCAAGAAAACGGCTGGAGTTTTGTAAGAAGCACACTGGACTCTTAGCTGTGGTCCTCTTTAGCCAGAAGGTTGGACAGGGAGGAGAGGGGCAATTTTTACGTGTTACTTCAGTAGGACAGAATAAATGTGGCTTGTTTGGGGTTACTTTAAAAGGTCAGATTTATTTTAAATAAAGATGGTAGGGCCGTTAGGTCCAGGGCTTGGTGGGGACGCCCGGGACCCAGTCTGGCAGGGGAGATGGTCAGGAAAGGCTCCCTGGGGGAGGTGACCTTGCTGAGCGCAGGATGTGCGTGTCAGCCGTGCAGGGGGATCCAGGACAGGAGCACGTTGCTCAGGGGCGTCCCCGGACCTTCTGGGTAGGCCTTGTGCAGCTCACCGCCCTTCATGTCCTCCTCCTCCTCCTCCTCCTCCTCCTCCTCCCTAGCGGGGTGCACAGTGCTCCAGGGACGCCTCCCAGGGCTCCTCAGGCCGTCCCTCTCCCCTGCTGCCCTTCCTGTCCGCACCGCTCAGATCTCATTTGGACCCTTGACAGAAACGCTTCTCTGTGTCCAGTCATTGTCTGCTCCCCATGCCTGCCTGCCTCAGTCTCTCCTTCACCCTGCTAGTGATCTTTGAAACCTGGCTGTTCCTTCCCTAAACTGTCTCAGTCCCTCTATTGTCCCCCACTCCATGCAGAGGTGAGAAGCCTTGCTACACTGGACCTGGTGTTTGTGTTACCCAGAACGGTCTTCATGTCCTTGTCAACGCCGGTCTCCTGACCTAGTGAGGGAGGGAGGGGGCTCGTGAAGGAAATTCGGTGATGTGGGTTTAGTAGAGTTATTAATTTATTAATTTGCGAATAGTCTCCCTAAATAACCTTGCGTTCTGGGAGTTGATGTCCATAATTTCCTTGTATTTTTAACAACTGAGAAATTAATACATTGCAGAGAAAATAATCTATGTCTTTGGAGTGTTTTCTTTTGTGACAGTTTTTGAGTGGATGTTTGGAATGACAGGTCAGAGTCCCCACACACAGGATTTGAGAATCTGGCATTAATCATCACTTGTCTGTGCTAAATCCGCATGCGGTCTCCTTTTATAAAGTACACGTTGTTCTAAAATCACAGCATTAACTAAACAGTCTTTATTTGCGTTGGCTAAACTTAGTGTTAATGAATAGGAGACATAAAGCCAGCTTCCAGCACTCAGGACAATTCACTTTTAAAATAAACTGCATGTTATTCTTCCATCCCTCTTGTCTTCCAAATTTGTCTCTGTTATTTTCTTATTATGTAATTGTAACAAATAACCCTTGTCAAGTAAATACTGGGAGTTGGTTTTGGCTTGTTGATTTTCACAAATGTTTGCATTTAGAAATACGGTCATCAGGGCTATATTAATATACTATCGTCTGGCTCCCCCTGGTGGATATTCATATAAATTATTTAGCTAGAGCATTTCTGCACTGCCCGCCCCCCCCCCCCCAATTTTGGGGACTAGGTGAGTGGAACAAAGGTTGTAGTTTTTCTGGTTTTTGGTTGAAAAAAGGGACAGAAGGTACATTTTAATTTTGTAAATACGTCATTTTATAGACCATAAATACACTGCTATTAAATAATATGCATGGCAGTAGTTGTGCTGTTACTTTTTTTCTTGATATTAGTGACAGTGCGGGGACCACAGTGTAAAAGAGAATCAGAGGCAGATTTCACCCAGAAACTTTGTAGCAGTGCTACACAAGGGTAGGATACGGGCTACCATGCACTAATAGAGTTAGTACGAGGGCGCAATCCTGGTCCATAGCTCATTCCACAATCTCCCCAAAGCTAGACTTTTCACTGAGTAATACATAATTTTGGGACTCTTGGAAATGATTATTTTTGCTTTGAATGAGTTTATTTTGATGAATTTGTTAGTATTTCTAACTTGTGATCTGAGTTTACAGAGTCACTAAAATTGCTTTACCTTTATTTTGGGGATTTAATTGATACCAGGTTTTATCAGAGTGGTTGTATCTTGCCTTAGCATCAGATACTTCCCACAGTAACCAGGAGGAGTTGATGAGGGTCTTCAGCCACACCCGCATATCAGGGCAGTTAGGATACTGAAGGTGAGGTCAGGAATTTAGCTTAGCTGGTGACCCTGACCTTTGAACCCTTGGGAACCACTCTGAGGAATTCTGCTACCTTCTGTCTTTTGTTAGTGAAATTTCAAAAAAGAATTTATTTTTTATATTGAAAAAATTTAAATTTTTTACATAGAGCATCTGTTTTGAAACATACATACATTGTAGATGTATATATAGTCAGGTGGAGCTGATTATCACATATGCTCTCACATATTTTTCATATTTCCTATTGTGAGAACACTTAAAATCTCTTCACAGTTTTCTAAAATACAGTACAGCACATCGTTCCTACTGATAGTCACCATTAATTAAACTTATTTCTGTGTAATTTACTTTATATAACAAAACCTCACATTTATTGAAAAAAGCATTTGATGGGCACTGTGTTTTTTAATTCTTTCTTTAACTTCATGGGCAGTTAGCAGTTATTCATGGCACTTTGCAGAGCCTGGCAAAATGAGCTTAGGTAGAAGCTAGTGGGCCAGGGTCCCTAACATTCTCATTCCCTGCAGTCAATTTCAGACTGCAGGAGTGTCTGACCTCTCCTAGCGGGCAGGAGATGAGAACAGGTGTGACCAGTACTCTTGCTTGGCGTCTACAGAGGGCTGGAGACTTTAATTTTATGCATCTTCCTTTTCACTAAGGAGACCTCAACTCAGAGCTTTTGGCATTTCCCCCTCATTGTTAATGGACCTTGCAGTAGAGCCTCTTTAAATTTTGTTTTGCTTAATTTTGAAAGTTAGGACAAATTATATCCATTGTCACAAAAATAGTTTATGAGAAAATTATATTTGAGGTCATTGCCTTCCTCACCAAAATCTTAAGAGTCAGATGATCTTAGGTATAGTGTGTTAGCTGTTGTTTTTTTGCGGGGGGGGGGGGGGGGGACCGGGAATTGAACTCATGACCTCAGGCTTGCCAGGTAAGCGCTTATGCCACTGAGCTACATCCCCAGCCCATGTTAGCTGTTCTTATTCTCTTATTGTTTTGTTAGGGAATTTTGTTTTATTTTCACATAAAAAAAATTACGCCCCAAAACATTGAAGGAGGATTAAAATTTCTAAGTACTAATGCTAAACTGTGAAAGGCAATTTACATTTAGATACCAAAGATCTTGGTAAAGAATGCTTGAAATAGATGATCAAGGGTAATTTACGAATTTTTTTTCCCCTGAAAATAGTGGCAGTTTCCTTAAAATCAATGATTATAAGGTATTTTACATGTGTCGTTTCACTCTTACAATAGTCTAATGCTCATGAATTAACTGTTACTGGAGATATTATCTAGATGAAGAGAGTGAAGCCCAGAGAAGTCACGTGCTCGTGCAGAGCTATCTGGCCGGGATTCAGACCCACGGTCTGCGCCAAGAGCCCACGCTCCGAACCCCGCAGTAGCGTGGTCCTGTAGAGCCTGTGGTGATGATGGAAATATCTGACACCCGTGTAGCCCAGTAAGTGGCAACTGGGGCTCCTGGTGCTTACAGTGTGGCTAGTACTACTAAGGAACTGATCTTTTGTTGTTTAAATTGTAATGAAGTCATATAGCCTCTTGTGGCCAGTGGTAGTCTACTCATGAACACAGCTGCATGTGGTCCTTCAGAACCTGTAGAAGTGGAGATACCGGAAGTTTGGGATCGCTAAGGCTCTGTCTCACTGACTGGAAAACCACAACTTAGAGGAGTTAGCAATCTGCTTTAAGTCACTGAGCTAACGTTGGAGACAGAGCATAATACAGGTGTTCATGCTCCTAAATCACAGCTCCTCCCATTCCATAATTCTTTGGCATCTGACATTTTTCTTTTTTTCTACCATCGTTAATATTGAATTGAAAAACTATTGGTTATGGAAAAAATCTTACTCTCTCTCAAATGTGTAGCTAATAAATATTTTCCTTTTTTCTCAGGTTATAGAAACATTATCACGGCTTTCTCGTACACCGATAGCATTGGCCACGGGGATCAGGTAAGCTCATTTCTTTGTGGTTCATCTGTCACATCCAGTTCAGTGTAGTGATGATTTATTGAATAGTTCCTGTTTGTAAAACATCTTATATGTAGGGGCCATGTGTTATACAAGACAAGCACATGGTGTATAGTACCAAGTATACCTTTGAAATTTCTTGAGCTACTAAAAATTGATGCATAGAATTGAATGATATATATTGGCTAAACACCATTCTCCATTCACTGGTATGTTTCTGGTTTTATTTCTTATACTTCTAACAAGCACAAATCTTTAAATAGTAATAGATTCAGACAGATATAAAGTGGTATATGTACAGGATGTGTATTGAAGGTTTGATAATATATTCAAAACTTAGAAGGAAGTTAGTTAAATAAATTATGTCATCTCCTTGCAATGCCATATTGTGCAGTTGGTAAACACTGGTGGTACATGTGTGTTGTTTGAGGCCTTTTCTGATTCCAGTACTAGAGACTAACTTAGATTGGCCAGTAAATTTGTATTACAAACAGCTCAGTGGCAACACAGTAGCAAGCATCTCCTCTTCTAATCTTGTCTGTGTTTTGGAGTCCAGCTCATAGTCACATTCTGATGGAGAGGAACCAAGCACACCTTACAGGAATGCTCAGAACAGGTCAGACGGCTCGGTTCATGGACACAAAGCAGGTGCTTTGAGGTCCCTTCCCGAGAACTGGACTATGAGTTTGGCCACTTTCTATAGAAATGCCCTGTAGCCTGGTAATTCCTCAGCTCCTCCTAACTTGCATCTTAACAAATAAATACATTTTCATGTCAGTGTGCATTTTATTTCATATGTAAACACTATATTTTGAAAAACATGATCCAGTGTTCATGTATGTATGTATTTCTGATTCTGAAAAGATAAAAGTTTATCTTTTTAATTTTCCTTATCTCTGTTTTCCACAATGGACTGCAGTTTTCTATTATGGATTTAATAGTATTGACATAAAAACATAACACATGCTTAAATTTATAAAAAAAATCAGCTTGAAACTTTGGGATTTTTTTTCTTCAGAATGATTTCATTAAACTTGTTTTAAAGAGGAAAAAATAACAGTAAAACAATTTCAAAACAGGTTAGTAGGAGAGTTGCAATAATTAATATATTGCATATTGTTGTCCTTGTAGTAGTTATTTAGAGTACAAGATATAGGCATGATATCTTATCCAAGCAAAATTAGCACAAGCCCTTTCTTTTCAATGAACTAAGAGAAACTAGCTGTTTGACTATCCTAAGTATCTTGTGGGGCCGGGGATACAGCTCAGCAGCACATGTGCCTGCCTGGCAAGTGCAAGGTCCTGAGTTTGCTTTCCAGGACCAAAACAAAACAAAACACAACACTATACTACCTTGTGCATAAATATATATTTTTTCTTTTTCCCTTCCTTTCCCCTAAAGCCCCTTCACAGTTTGTGTTTTGAACAGTTTCTTCATAATTCACTATATCTGTTGTGCATTTTGGACTTTACTTGTTCAGCTTGTCGTACTAGTGAGACAATGCAATGTTTATACATATGGGTCTGACTTATTTCACTTATGAGTATGGTCTCAAGTTGCATCCATTTACCTGTAAAAATCTCTAGTTTATCCTTTTTTATGGCTGAGTAGTACTCCGTTATAAAAAAACCCATATCTTTTTTTATCCATTCCTCGGTTAATGGCCTTTTGGATTGTTTCCAAGATTTAGCTATTACAAATTGTGCTGCATACATGGGTGCACATATATTGCTGGAGTGTGATATTTTTAATTCTTCTGGGAAGATACCCAGAAGAGGAATAGCTGGGTCAAATGGGACCTTTAATCCTAGTTTTTAAAGGAATCTCCAGACTGATTTCCACAGTGGTTGCACCAGTCTACACTCCCACTAACAGTGGAGAAGGGTTCCTTTTCCCCCACACCCCCACCAGCATTTGTTATGGGTTGATTTCTTGATGACAGCCATTCTTTCTGGGTTGGGATAAAATCTCAGTGTTGTTTTAATTTGCGTCTAACAAATGACCAATGACATTGAGTGTTTTTTCATGTATGTATTTGCCATTTGTATTTCTTTATCTGAGAGGTGTATATTCATCACAGATGCCCATTTTTGGATGACACAATTGTAGTGGGGTCCTTAATATCCCACTATCACAAATAGATAGATCAACTAGACAAAAAGTCATCAAAGAATTATTAGAATTAAATCAAACCTGTGAACATATGGACTTAGTAGATGTCTACACAGTGTTCTACCCCAAAATATCAGAATGCACATTCTTCTCAGCTGCACATGGGACGTTCTCCAAAGCAGACCACATATTAGCCCACAAAACATGTTTAAGTAAATGTAGACAAATTGAAATCATTCCCTGCATACTGTCTGACCATAGTGCAGTGAAACTAGAAATCAGCAACAAAGGAAATCACAACCAATGAGTCACAGAGGAAATTAAAGGTGAAATTAATCAGTATATACAATTAAATGATAATGCTGATACAACATACCAAAACTTATGGGAAGCAATGAAAGTAGTCCTGAGGGAAATTTATAGTGATGAACTCATACATCAGGAAAACAAAATGAGCTCAAATGAACAACCTAATGTTGAACCTCAAACTTCTAGAAAAAGAAGAACAAATTGAATCCAAAGCTCATAGAAGGGAGGAAATTATAAAGGTAAGGGCAGAAATTAATGCAATAGATACTAAGAAAACAATGCAAAGAATCAACTAATTGAAAAGTTGGGTCTTTGAAAGAATAAATAAAATTGATAAACCATCAGCCAAACTCATCAAAAAGAGGAAAGAAAAATGCAAATTCAAGCTATTAGGAGTGAAAAAGGGGAAATCACAGTGGATCTCACAGAAATCCAGGAGATCATCAATACCTACTATGAGAACCTATATTCAAATAAGATGGAAAATGCAGAAGAAATGAAGAAAATATAAAAATTCTAAATAACCTGATATCAGCCAGTGAAATTGAAAATGTAATTAAAAATTTACCAACAAAGAAAAGCCCAAGCCCTGATAGACTCATTGTTGAATTTTACAAGAAATATAGAGAAGAACTAATGCCACTAATGCTGAAACTAAAGAAATTGAAAGGGAAGCAGTACTTGCAAAATCATTCCTGGAATCAAGTATTACCCTGATTCCAAAACCAGCGAAGAGAACTCAACCATGGAAGAAAACTATAGGCCAATCTTCCTAATGAACATGGGTGCAAAAATCCTTAATAAGATCCTAGGAAACAGAATGCAGCAAATCAAGATTATACATCATGAGCAAGTAGGATTCATCCCAGCGTTGCAGGGATGGTTCAACATATGCAAATAAACATAATACACCATATTAACAGCACCAAAGACAAAATCACATGATCATCTCAATAGATGCAGAAAAAGCATTTTTCAAAGTCCAATACTCATTCATGGTAAGAAAAAGCCCTACATAAAATTGGAATAGATGGTCTTTACCTCAGTCTTATAAAAGACATCTAGATAAACCAACAGCTTACATATTAAATGGTCAAAAACGGAAAGCTTTTGGTCTAAAATCAGGAACAGAAAAGGATGTCCTTTATCACCACTCCTATTCAATATAGTTCTGGAAACATTAGCCAAAGAAATTAGACAAAAGAAAAAATAAAAGGAATAAAAATAGTAAAGGAAGAAGTTAAATTATCGTTATTTGTAGATGGCATGATACGCTACATAGAAGACTCCAAAAACTCCACCAAAAAAACTTGTAGATTTAATATCGGAATGTAGCAGTGTAGTGGGATACAAAGTCAACACTCAAAAATCGGTAGCATTCCTGTACACAAGCAACAAACCAAGAAAGAGAAATTAGGGAAAGCACACCCTTCACAATAGCATCTAAAAAATGAAATACCTAGGAGTCAATCTAACAAAGGATGATGTAACAGATCTGTACAGTGAAAATTACAGTACCCTAAAAAGGAGATCAAAGAGGATGTCAGAAAATGGAAAGATATCCCTTGCTCTTGGATAGGAAGAACCAATATAGTGAAAATGGCCATACTCCCGAAACTGCTGTACAGATTCAATGCAATTCCCATTAAACTACCAATAGCATACCTCACAGATCCAGAGAAAACACTCTTAAAATTATTTGGAACCAGAATAGACCTAGAATAGCAAAAGCAATTCTGGACAACAAAGGCAAGTTAGGGGGCATTATAATCCCAGACCTGAAATTATACTACAAAGTTACTGTGATAAAATCAGCATGGTACTGGCAAAAAAACAAGTCTGAGGATCAGTGGAACAGAATAGAAGACGATGATGCAACCCCTAACACACTCAGCCAGCTTATCTTTGACAAAGGAGCCAAACATGTTCACTGGAAGAAAAGTAGCCTCTTTAATAAATGGTGCTGGAAAAACTGGCTTTCCACATGCTGAAGACTAAAACTAGACCCACATCTAGCATCATAGACTAAACTAAAGCCAAAATGGATCAGAGGTCTAAATATTAAAATAGAAACACCAAATTTACTGGAAGAGAAAAAAAGGAGAAATCTTGAAGACATAGATGTAGGCAGAGAGTTCATAAACAAAACCCAGACTGCAAGGGAAATACTACAAAGAATCAACAAATGGGATCTCACCTCATTAAGACGCTTTTGCACAACCAAAGAAATCACCAACAGAGTGAAAAGACAACCCACAGAATGGGAAAACATTATAGCCAGGTGTCCCTTAGACAAAGGACTTATATCTAGAACATATAAATTAAAAAAAAATCAGATACTCCAAATTCAAAATACCCCATCCAAAACGGATTTTACATGTATGTTGATTTTTGGAAAAAGTTAGATTCCTTAAATGTTCTAAGTGTTAAATTAATCAGTAGACCAATATAAGTCTGCCTTTTCAACACAACTATTTAGAAATAATTTAAATTTCTTATTATTTTAATGGTTCCTCATTGGTGGGACATGTGACATGCTTGATGTCAAGGAAAAGTAAAGTGTATGACATGATAATGTGACTTTCTTAGGAATAAATTTGAAATATATTTTTTAACAAAAAAGTACATAATATTATGAGGCAAACAAGAGATAATGTGGGTTTTTTGTGGAACAAGGGACAAAAATATGACAATACCCTATTCTCTCTGAAGTCCAGCTGACTGATTTGTCCAAAAAATGAAAATAAAATATGCAATTTAAATACCTTAAAGTCTGAGTACAAAAGTATGTCAGGGTCTGGAATCATATTAAGGGCATGATGTATTTTTGTCTTCTATTAACTTTCATTTGTACTAATGAACTGAGTCATAGAAGGATGGTTGTTACCAAATTTCTTGTCCTATCAGATCTTAGAACTAAAAAGAGAGAGTGCTGAAAGCAAAGGTACGTGTACGGCTGCTTTTTCTCTGAATGGAGCACTGCAGTGAGTGCGTGGGGTGACCCTACAGATGCGTGGCGGGGGAGGACGTATGGCACACAAGCATGTCCTCAGCTGCACATGTGTCTGTGGTGGCCAGCTGCAATTGCAGCAGAAGATTTGGGGTAGCAGGTGCCTCAGCCTTCTGGTGGAAGCCCAGTAACAACAGCTCAGCAGACACTGTGAGGAGCACTGGACATCAGTGGACATGGCCGGTGACGGTTTGGCAGCGATAAGCTTGCATATTTAATGAGACGTAAATGTGCAGATTGGCTGCTACTCATTCACCCGTGTTTTCCCCCTTTCCTAGGCCCTTTCCAACCGAAGAAAGCGTTAATGATGAAGACATCTACAAAAGCCTTCCTGACTTAATAGAGTACGTTGAACATTTTCAGCAAAATTAGGCCTCCTCCAATTTTGACATCTAGCACGGATCTTAATTGGGGATATGAAGTAAGCTCTCTGAAGAGTAAAGGCGATTTCATGATTAAGACGTGTAAGAAATAATCTTAAGCTGATGACAGAAAGCTTCAGCGGAAGACACATACTGCAGCTGGCGTTTAGTGCCTGTCACGTGTCTCTGTGAAGGGTAAAGAAGCAGACTGCACTCAAGTAAAATTTGGATGTTTCTCAAAAGCGTAACAGAGTAGTAGATAAAATAGGAATTAGACAATTAGGAGATAATGAAGAAGGAATAGAATCTATGACTGGAGTTGTAGCGCAGGTAGTGTGTGGCTTCTCAGTTTCAAGGAAGGACGAGATACTGTAAGTACGAGCTGGACTTTTTCAGGGATATTTGTTAGATGGCATTTGTTTTGAACAGAGATTCCTCAGGTCTTTATTATTTAATAGTAGAGGTAGAATTCTTGGCGGCTGATTATCTTCTGCTGATTGAGTGACTTGTGCAGATTACAAATCAATATAAGACATGATCCTCCCTTGTCAAGGAGCTGATGACACAGATCAGGGGTGTTTGAAAAGAATTCTAAGAACGAGATTATAGTCTTAGAGAGATTCATAGAGAGATAATAGATTCATTCTCCGGGAGAAATTCAGCCACTTAACCATTCAACATTGAGAGTGAGCTTATATTAGGACCTTTGTTTGCTGTTTTGTTGGTCTGTAGGACTTGGCCCTCACCACTGAAGTCTCTTCTCAGATGTGTCTCTCTATAGAGAGACCCTCCCTGACTACTTTATCTAAAATTGCCACCACCCGTTTACCTTGCTCTGAATTTTCATAGCATTTACAACTGCCTGGGACAGTCTGGCTTGCTTTACTTATTGTCCGTTTCCTTGTTAGAAGGCAAACTTTGTCAGATCAGGGACCTGACTTTGTGGCTGTGTTCTTAGAACTTCAGTGCCTGGTGTGTAGTAGGTCAGTATGTGAATGGATGAGTAAGTTTGCACTGCACTGTGCACCTGCTGCTTGCCAGGTGTTCTGCTCCAGGCGTGGGGTCAGCTGGCAGGAAGAGCATCTTGAGTGTTCATTTGTGTGCCAACCATGTTAGCATGATCTCGTGTAGTGCCTCAGTGTCCCTAGGTTTCTACAGTTACCATAACAGTAATGAGAACAGCCACATTTTGAAAAGCTAAGTAACTTTCTGAAGGTAAGTAGTAGTTTTTGAACTTGTTAGGAAGTAGTAGTTTTGAACTGGAAACCCAGGCAGTTCTTGTTCTGGAGCACAGGCTCTCACTCATGCTGACTTTCAGATGCACCCAATTCGGCCTCTGAGAACTTGCACCGGAAGAGCAGGGAGGTATGTGCGGCCGGAGCGAGCACCACAGGTGTGCAGCAGCTTTCCAGGGTACTAGGTGGCATTTGCAGTGGTCTTGAAGTCTTACTTGTTAGATATCTCTTAAGAGAGGTTCTTTTTATCTCTTCCTAAAACTTCCAAGAATTCACTGGCTATGCAAGATGGGTGCTGATTGTCTCATTAAATTGGCTGTGATCTTCATAAAGTGACCATAAGCTTATTGGTCTTGTGATCGAATTCTTTAAAGTATTAGGAAGAATTTATGACTTCTAGTGTTATGACGGTATTTTTCTTGTTAAATTCCCACCAGTGATCATTTATACTTATTAATTTTGTGGCCTCCTCCCACTTTGTTCTGCTCACAACGTTTTTAGGTGAGATCGAGTGTTTTGGAAGGGTAGTATTTAGGAGTCAAAGGCAGGAGCCCTGGGACTAAGAGCAACAGAGAATAGATTCATAGTCTGTTTTCCTTCTGATCAGCTCCTCTCCATGCAGAACTGTTCCTTTACCATCTCTCATCTTAGTTAGCTCCCTGTCTGAGGAGATCTTCCTACTCCTTGATGTGTTCTAGGCAGTGCTTATCCCAGCTTAACTATCTACCATTTCCTGGCCAGGATGCTTGTCTGGATCCTTCTGTATGGAAATCATGGAACTGCCAAAATGGGCCTAATCTCCTCAGATTCCCAAAGTGCATCCTTCACTCCTTCCCTCTCTTCCTAGTGCTGATTGGTCAGCGAGTGTGGTTGACACGCTCTTGGAATTTTCTGCATTCCTCCTCTCATTTGCCTTTACAATGGTTACAGCTCTCAGTCTCTCTCACTCATAGTATTTTGCCTCTTGGCTCATTGATCTCCCTGCCTATCATTGTCCTCCTCCATCCTACCCCACATAAACCCCCTGCTGATCCCCAAATACACAGGGTGGGTTTGAGTTCAGAGTGCATGGCCCTTTGAAGTTTGGTTTCAGCTCTTGTCTCTGACAGTCTGTTTCACTGACCTGGGCACAGTGACTGGAGTGCCAGTCCTCATGTGGTCATGCTCATACCCTCTTCTCATTTGCCGTGGGTGTGTGGGAGTCCTCTTTGCCTTTGAATTTTGTGAGAGAAGAAATTGTATCTTCTTATTCCGCAGCCATGTCTCCTGGAGGACAATATTTTCATAGCAAGTATCTACTGAACAAATAGATAAATATATCCAAGATCCAGCTCAGATGTAATTCACTTCTGTGAAGCCTTCCCTGACTTCTTTTGTCAGAGTCATGTTTTGCTCTTTCCTCTGGCCTTCTATTTTGCATTCACTTTCCCTGTTGCATGTACAGAATTATGTTTATGCGCTGTTATTTGTACAAGGGAATAGGAGAGTTCTTGATCTGTGCATTCTGAGCCTGGAGCTCAGTCAGTTCTTAGCAGATGACTCTTAGATGGACAGCTGGCTGGGCAGGTGGGTGGACAGGTAACTATGAAATGAATTTTTCTCATCGAAGAGTTCTCTGAAACTTCTGTTACCACTAAATCTCTGTCTGTTAGTACACTTCCCTTTTCTCTGAGTGTTTGACAGTTCATTCCTGTTCAGATACCGTCAAATAATCCTTCATGGCAAACATAAGCAACCCTGTGATTGTACCTGTTCTGAGAAACGGTCCAAGTCGCAAAGTGACATTTCTAGTTGCAGTGTCTTCGTATCAATTCATAATGTTCCATCTGCCCAGACCCAGGAGAGGCACTCAGGGCTGGCGGTATTAAAGGAGTTGAACTTCTGTCTGAGGAATATTAATGCTTCTCTCCAACATGTCTATGTTGGATAATCTCAGTTCTTTGGGATTATTAGTAGAGGGCACTTACGAAAGTCTTGCACTACAAGGAAGAGCTTAAGCATAGTAATAGAACACGCATGGCTGGACCACTGTGACTGAGGGTATTCGTGGTCTCACAGGAGGGCCTGAGGAGAGCCGCTGGCAGTCACTGTTCGAGTGCTCATGGAAGCTGATAAGTAGGGAAATGGGGCGGGGAGTATGACGGAGTAGCTCCACACTCAGAGCGTAAGATCATGGCCTTGCCATTGCCTAGTTGTGTTATCTTTGATAAGTCAGATAACCTTTTGGACTCTCCACTCCTTCATCTCTTTAAACATCAAAAGGCGTACTAATAAGGTAATTGCTGCTGGATGAGTTAAATCAGGTGACACTGCAGAATGATCAGTTATGAGCTTGTACGAAAGCAAATGCCTGGTAAACATTAGCTACTATTGCTTTCATTGTTGGATCCTGCTGTTCATCATCCATCGTATTAGAAGGGACCTAACTGTCAGGCAAGCCTTTTCCCTCTTTCCACTAATTCCATTTCACTTCCTCTTTAAATTTGCTACAAAATCAGTAGAAAAGTTTCAGTCTGTGTTCTGCTAAAACTTCAGAAGCTGCTCCTGGCTCCTGTATTTACTGAGTGATGGAGACCTAACTGCTGCCTTCTCTGTTTTAGTGAGACTCGTGTGGAAGATGAAGAAGATCTCTACGACTGTGTTTACGGGGAAGATGAAGGTGGAGAAGTCTATGAGGACCTGATGAAGGCAGAGGAAGCACACCAACCTGTAGGACTTGGGCTTGTTTCTAAATTACTCTGAGGACTCTATTAAGAAATTGATTACTTGCAAACCTAAAATTATTTCTGTAACCTCTGCTGGCATAGCCCTTGGTTTGTTTTCCCTTTGATTCCTTATAACCTTGCAGCTGTGACTTTTTTTTTTCCATTTGGAGCATGAAGTTTTACAGATCAGAACAAGCGTAGGGAATCTCTAGTCTGATCCTTTAATTTTACTAGTAAGGAAACACATGATCTGGGAGGTGAATAGCTTGCCCCCGGCAGAGTGGCCAAAGAATATAATTTGAAGAATCATGAAATTACATGGTTGTACAAGTAAATCTCTTACAAAGTAGGTACATTTTTTTCTTTTAAATGTACTGCCAAGTAAAATACATGTCTTCTCTTGTGTTAGGTGTTATCATGAGGAGCTATTCCTTTGTAAGTCTCCTGCCTTTTTACTATTTCGTAAACTTAGTTTTGGATACTGTCATTTGGGCCCTCAAAGCTCTATCTGCTGCGAATTGTATCTAGAGCATTCAGAAAGAATTACTTTGAGCAATCCATCTGTAATTTGAAATCTAAAAGTCAGTGATTAGATTTTTATCAACATATTCTTTATCCTGAAGACTTTGCCTCATCAGCTGATGATTTAGGTTCTTCTGTACTTTGATGATCTGGCTCCATTCTGTCTCTGCCTTTCCCTTTAATAAAGGGCTGGTGAGCGTCTAGTCCACACTGGGGAGCAGTAGCTTATATGAGGTGGAAACAATCACCCACCTGTGCTTGGGAAATATAATGAATGTGTGTGTTAACCCACTGCGGGAGCTGACAGGCTGCCTCTGGCAGCATTTTCAGAGTGATTTTAGGTGACAGAGTATCATCTGCACCTCCTGCAGTTGTCATCTGCTTTGGTGTCAGCAGATCCTTCCGTGTCTCCCCCGGGGGCAGCCTTCACTCGGCTGACAGCACTGGCTTACCTGGGACAGGGTTAATAGGAACAATAATTTAGATATAGCGCCTTTCCTGAGTTCCTGGCTAGAGGTAAAAGTGCTTTCCATGCTTCTATCTTATTTATAACTTCTTGTATTTGGTTCTGTAGTTCTGTTTTATGGAAGAGAAAACTGAATCTCAGAGAAATTAAATAACTTGTTCATAGTTAACAGGCTAATAACAAGCCAATCTTCGAACTCAGCTTCATCTTATCCCAGAATCTTTTATTTTAATACTATACTCAACGAACTCCAATCTTAAATACTTAGGTGTTAGTGTCGAAAAAAATATTTTGAAGATTCTCACTTATCTTTTTAACATTGTTGCAGTTAGTTCTGTAGCACGTGGGAAATATACTGTATATTAAGGAAATTCTTTTTTTATTATTAAGGGAATTCTTACACAATTTGTATTTCCCAATTCATTAACATTTTTAATAAGAGCTGTTTTACTTGAATATAATGTCTATACTCAGAAGCTTACTTTTAATCACCTAAAATTTTTTCAACTATGTTGGTTATATTTTATAAAGTACAGCACAAATACAGTTAAATATGACTTTTGGTATATGCTTTTATTAGAATGAAAAGTTAAAGAAAATCAGTAATGATTTTGATTTCTCCCCATCTCCTACCAGACAGATTAATATATGAATTTATTAAATAATTTTATTTTTATCATTCTAACTGCAGAAATGTCAAGAAAATGATATACGAAGTTGTTGCCTAACAGAAATTAAACAGACAGAAGAAAAATATACAGAAACTTTGGAGTCGATAGAAAAAGTAAGTCATCAGGTATTAATGCCAAAATACCCTGTAAGTAGTTAATATGTTAGATTCCCTCTTTCTGCAGAGTGTGTGTGTGTGCATGCCTGTGTGTATGTGTGCATGTGTGCATTCTGACTTGCATTTAAAGAACTTTGCATTTAAAGCCAAACATGGAAAGACAGCTCCCTATAGTCTCATTCATAGTTTTGGATCTAGAAAGTTGAATTCATAACAATAGAGAGTAGAATAATGGCTACCACAGCCTTGGTTGATTGGGGTGGCCATGGGGAGATGCTGGTAAAAGGATATATATTTGCAATTAGCAGAACAAATATTTAAAAAAAATCTTCATTCAGAGTAAGCAAATACATAGCAAGAGAAAGTAGCCAAGTGAATGTCTGGGGCCGGGGGCTGGTGGTAACATGAGTGGGTGTGGGCGGAGGACAGGTGGCGTGGAGAAGGAAAAACGAGGATGACTGCTGAAGGTTATGCACTTTTCATATGGTGATAAACACAGTTCAGAGTTGATTGTAGTGATGGTTGCACGGTTCTGTGAATGTACTGAGAACCACTGGATTACACACTTTAAATTGGGTGAATTGTATTTAATGTGAATTATATATCTTAAGTTCTTTTACAAAAAAGGAAAATGAAGATCTCAAAGCAAGTTTATTCATTCCACATCTATTTATTGATGGTAAACAACTGGGCCTGTTTTAGAACTGGTATACAACAGTAAACCAGACAAAACTGTGGATCCATGGCCATCCTGTATCATGGGCGGGTTTAGTATGGAAGTGTATAAGTGTGCCAGATGGTGTGGTAAGATCTCTGAAGAAAATAAGACAGGGGAAGGGGTAGAGGGGGTGCGGGGAGTGGCTGGAGGTATTTTATAGAATGATAATGGCAAGTTTCTGAGACAAGGTCATGGTGAAGCTGATGCCTGAGTGAATTTAGAGTATAAGCCACACACGTATCTCAGTGAGGATCATTCTTGGAGAAGCATCCTCAGATAGGAGAGTGTTCAGCTTGTGTCCCAGGGAAGGAGAGTGAGTGGGAAGTCAGCTGGTGGGCCGCCAGGTCACTTTGGGACAGAGGCTAGGGCATTTTGCGTGTTGATGGCACGTAGATCTTCAGCATTTCATTCTGGCTCTTGTAAAGCAGGATGGGAACTGGGAGAACATTGGGTGTTTGTAACAAGAGGACAAGAAGTAGTGGTATTGACTGAGTTGGTAAGGGATGGTCAGATGCTAAGTACATTTTAAAAGTAGAGCCAACTGAATTCGATGATGGATTAGATAAAAGATTTGAAAAAAGGAAGAAGCAAGGGTGACTGCTAGGCTTTGCCACGAGCGACTGCATGAATGGTGAAGACGGTTACTGAAATGGGGAAGGACAAGTCTGGGGGTCGTGAACCTGTGGGCATATTAAACTTGCAACACCTCTTAGACTTCCGGTGGGATGTATTAAGGAAGATGTTAGGCGCATGAGTCTGGCCTCAATGGGAAGAGTTGAATTGGCATAGAGATTGGATTTTTATAGTTGCACAGTGGAATTTAAAGCCATGGGACTAAGTGAGATCACCCCAGGGAATGCAAACTCTTAGGGAAGAGGTTTGAGGCCGCCCCTACGGACTCTCACACTTACAGGTTAGGAAAATGACAACCAGGAGAAAGTGTTTTAGGTTTAGTAAAAGAGATCAGATGTGAAGAGTTGTTTAGGAAGTGGAAGAGCAAATTGACGAGGGAGATACAGTGAGACTGTGTAGCATTACAGGCCCAGTTGAGATTTGTTGTCATATTTAAAATTAGACTATCAGTGTAGTCCATGCTTAACTTCTTAGACACAAGTGTAAAATAGGTGGCAAGCTAAATTTCACCAGGATTTGATTTTCTAGAAGAGCACAGGGAAACATGAGAGAGTAAGTGTGTGTACAGGGAAGCAATTCCAGTGATGGCTTAAGGAACGTAATCTGGGTAGGGAGGGAAGTGAAGGTGTGAGGAACGTAGTGGGGTCAATGGGCTGGTGGATCCAGGATGGCTACAGAATTCCCGTGCTGTCCATTTGGGAGGTGATGGTCCAAAGGTGCATGTTTGAGATTTCACTTACGAAGCGTATTTAGTTGTTTATAACATCTAAAGTGTGACCATGAGATTTGGGAGTTGAGCTAGACTAGGGCACAGGATTCCTGGATGACAAGGAAATGACAGGGTTGGATGTTGGAAGGATCACCTGCACAGATACTGAGATTGCCGGGAGTGGAAAAGGTATGCCAGGACACCAAAAAATTCAAGGAATGAAGAGAAATGATGCATAAATTATATGAACAGATTATTGACCTCAAGGATCTGTGATCTTCACAAAGCATTTTTGTAGAAGTCCTCGTCTCTCTCTAAAATGTTACCATTGGTTACCAGCCTGGCCAATAGTGTTCTCTTTCTTACTTTCAGAAGGAAATATTATATAAACCTTTTATTTTATACTTTAAATGTTTTAGTTTATATTTATGTCTGTAGATCTCTGGTCAAGTATAAAATCTTTTTCATAGTGAAAATAATTGCTACATTTTTGGAATTTATAATGCTGATGAGCAGTTGACTTTCAATAAAAGATGTTTGTTGATGAAAAACCATTATACAGATTAGGGCAAGTTATGCTTATTACTTCCTTCTTCTCTCCTACTAGTATTTCATGGTACCACTAAAAAGGTTTTTGACACCAGCAGAATTTGACTCAGTGTTCATCAACATTCCTGTAAGTAAAAATATGATAGTCAAGTTTGTGTGGCACTTGTGTAAAATATTCATTTTCTTAATGGGTTCCAGATGAATTTTCACCCTGTTTTTGCTTCTCAAGTTCTTGTATCATTATTTTCTTGAAAAACCGCTATATCTTCAGCCAACAGTCTGTCAGAGTGCATGCAGAACACAAATGGATAAGTACTATTCAAGTGTTATCCTTAACTCTTGTCATGAGGAGCGGGGCTCAGTTAAATCAGGAAGCAATCCTGGCTGCAGCTGGCGTTTCTCTTCTGGGGCTCCTGCTCTGTCCCACCTCCTTGCTGTGTTTCTTCTTGGGCCCTGGGACTTCAGTCCTTTTCATGCCTTCTCTTGCTGCTTTCTGCTTCCAGTTTTGTCACCCTTAACTCCTATTTCCAAAACTTTACTGCCCTATAATTTATTAGACTATTTTAATGGTAAAGTGGGAGGAGTTTTCCTGACAGTTACATAAATATTTTGAGTTTCACATCTTCTGACCATATTCTTACAGTTCTCAAAGTATTCTTGCTCAGAAATGTACAGTCAAGCTAAATGCTATCCCAAGTAGGTACTGCTAGGCAAGATTCAAGTTCTTGACCTTTAGAATTTGGTTTACACACACACACGGACACATGCCACAAGCTCGTGCACACACATGCACACGCACACACACTTTTATCTATAGGCTTTCTTGTATCACCTGAGAAAGTCCCTTATATTTTGATTCTGTTGTGTTCTGTGTTGCTGAGCACCAGATGATAAACTCTGGCATATGTTCTTTGTATCAGTTGCCCACATGAAGACATTCTCACTGATTCGTCACATAAGTAAATGAAGTGCTTACAATACTAGATGAAAGTTTAGCATAAAACAAAGTGCTCAATCTAGCAAATCGAGGTCTTAAACTACTTAAGTATGGTCACTATAACTTACAACTCATTTGATACTCTGTGTTTTTATGGCTTTCCCATGCTCCTCAGCAAAATGACAGCACCAATAAATATGTTCATGTTCGGTTTCCACTTTACTAAGGAGAAGGTGTGCTTGGTATACCCCAAGACACATAGGAAGAGATACCATGAGTCAAATTTCTTCCTATTACTGAAATGTATTTCCTGGCTGCTGAAAATGCCTTGCTTATGAGGACAAATGTGAAATTCTGACTTTTGAGTTGCTTTAGTAAATTGTCTGGTACCATTTATTTGCTTCTTATTTAGGCTGTTAGTTTTCTGGCTTCAAGTAATTTAGTCTGATTATTGTTAGCTTAACACCAGGACACCACTAATTGACCAAGTGCAAATCTACATTTCTGTGTCCCAAGGACATGAATTATTACTTTATTCTGTCAATAAAACATTAAGCACTTAGACAGTTTTATTTAAAAATTTACAGTGATTGTAAAATGAGAAAGCTGTAAGTATTTTTACACAAGAAATAAATTTTCCTTTAATAACTGAGGAGATAATTTTTCTCACCACAGGATACGACATTTCTAGTCAGATCTGGATTTGCTATTTCCCACACACACGTCTCGCTTTCCTTCTGACTCCCTTCCCATTTTCTCTTCAATCCTTCACAGTTCTCTCCTTTTCTTTGTGTCTTTTCCTTTCTCTCCTCTCCTTCAGCCCCTTCTTCCTCCTGAATCCTTCCTCTTCTCCCTTCTTGAATGGTAGCAAGTTTATATGTTTACGAGTAACAAGTCTGGCAATACTGAGATACTTGGGGTGTACATTTTGGTTCTGATTCTTACTTTTCTTTCACATTGCTTTCTTTTCTAAGGAACTTGTAAAAGTTCATCGGAGCTTAATGCAAGAAATTCATGATTCCATTGTAAATAAAAACGACCAGAACTTGTATCAAGTTTTTATTAACTACAAGGAAAGGTAATGTGTGAATTTAAAATTTTGTGTGTATTAGTTTGGAATTATATGAAGATTAGTATTAAAATAAATAGTTCTTGCTACTGTTTATTGGAATACTCCCTGTGCATGTGAATACAGGACAGTTCATCTCAGGGTAGTAGTTTGAGCTTTCTATGTGATTTCAAAAGAAAAGGACTCAGTGTACTGCCCAGACTTCTGCAAATCAAAAGGCTGAGATTCACAGGCCAGTCACTACTGAGTGGTGGCTTGTCATTTTAATTAGTCCCCTATTCCTTATTTGTAAGTATTGAGAGTAGATTAGCTGGTACCAAATGCTTCTTCCAACTCTGATATTTTATGATTTTCCATTGTGGTGCATTAAATTCAGAGTTTTACAATTCACAATTTCCATTGTGGTGGAATTCACAATTTTACAAATTCCACAGTTTCCATTGTGGTGCATTAAATTCAGAATGAAAGTCCCTTTCCCTTACTGAGTTACAAAAGATCTCCTGAGTGACTCATATGAATTTGGAGTATCAAGAGATTTTGCTTAAAATATAATGTTCTCTCAATTGAAATCAAGCAGCATAACTCCTAGTACTAAGCGGTGGCTAATGAATTGCTTTGTGCAGCTGCTAGGTAAATATTAATAATTTAGTAGTAGTTTTCCTTAGTGGGGAGTTAAAAGAAAGAGTAAAACAAACAAGCTTTTTGTAAAAAATCTGCAATACAGAGGTATTATCCCTTAAGTGGGCTAAGAATGTGTACAGTATGAGTTCTCTTTCACCCTGCACAATTCAAGCCTCCCCTTCCCAGTTTTCAGATGATGCATGTTCCTTAAAAGAGGATAAGGAACAGAAAGTTTGTTAATCAGTAGAATCATAGTGATTCCAATAAAATTGTAGTTGAAAATAAAACTTCTGAGTAAACACAAAAAAGTTCATCTGTAATGAGTTAAAAAGATGTTTTTTTGGTACCAGGAATTGGACTTGGTACCTTGCACTTGCCAGGTGGGCGCTTGTACCTCTGAGCTGTATCCCTGGCCCCAAAAGTTTTTTTATTGAGATATGTGTGCATGTACTCAAATAACATTAACAGTCATCATGACAGACTGTAAAATCTACCTGCCATAAAAATAAATATTTTGAGTTAATTCTAATCAAATTTGGAACTAAGAATGAGTCTTTATTGCTACATGTATGAGTGGCCCTCATGCTGTGATTGTGTGTGTGGTGTGTTGAAAATGAACTTCTGCTTTCATTCTTTCTAATTATAGTTCAAAAGAGGTGAAAAGTCTGCCTCTGTTTTTTTTCCACTGCTCCCTGCTTCCTGCTTTTGACCTCACAGATTTCTTCCTCTCTTTCACTTCAGATTGGTTATTTATGGGCAGTACTGCAGTGGAGTGGAGTCGGCCATCTCTAATTTAGATTACATTTCTAAGACAAAAGAAGATGTGAAACTAAAATTAGAGGTAATTGTGCTTTTTTGGTTGTTTATGATATATGCAAAATAAACTTAAAAAGCCACATAGTCCTCTTCCTGATTAATGCAACAGTACATTTGTCTCTGTATTCTAAATGTAATTTTATGTCATTTATATAAAATACTTTAATAGTTCTATAAAGTAAGATGGTAGTAACAGTAGCAGAATTTAACTTTTATAACCTTCCAATTTTTATTTTAAAGAGAATAAAAAATAACAAAATAGCAGCATAGACAAAAACAAAATGACATAAAAACAATAAAAATGATACAGGATTTCAAAGCAAAATGATAGGAATTAACAGTAGTTGTTGTATTACATATTGTGATCTTCAACGAAGTTGCTCAGATATTATCTCCTTACAAGACTGTGTCAGAGACAATACAGTTAAGTTTCTCATCTTATTACTGAGAAAGCTGAGGTTCAGAGATTTTGAGTAAATTATACAGGGTTACGTAGGCAGTAAGAGATCTAGGCTGGGTAAGAGCATGTGTATGTAGATTTTTTTTTTTTTTTTGCTACCAGGAATCGAACTCATGACCTTGTGCTTGCCAGGCAGGCACTTATGCCACTGGCCTTGTATGTATATTTAAAATGTTTATGAAAAATATAACACATTAGGGATAGACGTGTAAAAATAGAAGACATTTAGAGGAAGGTGGATACAGAAGGCATGGGTGTTGCCCAAAAGGATGAGAAGATGAACATGAGAATAATAAGCCCGTGCCTGTGTGAGGAGCTCTGGTCAAGGGCTTGGTGGGTAAGATGGAGTGGTCACTGCAGAGGGAATAGATGGCAGTGGGAGATTTATCTGAAAGGTGCTGTCTGAATGAGGTCACTGAGGAAGGTGGTGCACTTTGGCAGATGAGGTTGCATGAGGACATTCTGGAAGAATTGGTGTCTTGACCAGACAGACCATTGAGGGACGTTTGAGATTAGCAAGCTGATCAGTGTAAATATAGCACATAGTCACACTGGAAACAAGCTTGAAAATGTGTTAAGTCATAGAATTTGTACATCATATATGTTTTTTCACCAAGGAGTGTAGACTTTCAAAGAATACTTGAAAAATCAATTTTCTATAAATTATCACCTTAAATGGTTTATTACTGTTTTTGGATTTTCGTAAATTTTAGGTAGAGGAATGAGGTCAACTCTTAAATGACCTTGTATAGCTTTTTTTAAAAGCTCTTTAGTAGCCCTTTTCTTTTTGTTTAGTTTATTAGTGAAGTCAGTTGCTGAGCAAGGGAAAAGAGGCAGACCGTTTTCAAATCAGAATCTTCTCATTGTTTTGGTGTATCTGGCGTGGTGTCATAACTCCCGAATCCCACAAGGGGAAGCTGTTTAAAGCTGAAGAAGCTTGAATGTTAGCAAGTCACCAAGTAACTACTAAATCTATGTGATGGATCTTTTCCCTTACGTTTTACTGTTTCCTGATGGTGTTATTCTTAAGGCTTGAGATGGTAGTCACCAGTAAATGACATCCTTCTAGTATTGTTAACAAAAAGGATTCCTGCTTCTCCTTAGAGAACAGAAACTTATTAAATGCCTTCATTCAAAGTAAGATATAGTAAAGCTTTACAACTCACAGAACTAGTTCCTAGTGGAACAACTACTACAGCAGTTTTTCTGAAATAAAGCTGTAAAGTTGTGGTTCGAGATAGGAGACAGCAGGTTGTCGATCAAACCAACATGCCTTATTGAATGGTTGTTCTTCCTTCTATCAGAGTCAGTGTCAGAGTTCTGCCCAGTGACCACACTCTGGGACTCCAAGCAGTTTGTGTAGTCACTGTCTGTCTTAGTTGGAATAAAAGGCCTCAGGCTGAGACTAAAAGACTTTGGGTGGGGTGCCTCAGTGTACAGGCCCCCCTTCTGCCCATGGGCCTGGCTTGAAGTGCCGTATTAGTTAGTGCAGCATTTTAACAAATACTCTGTGGGAGCTATCTGCTTTAAGCCTCACTGTGGTGGAGGGAAAGCTGCCTTCTTTATGCCTTTTGTTTTGTGGTTATTTTTGTTCTTATCGATTTTTTTTTTTCTTCTCTACTTTGGAACCAAGATAGCATAGGGTGGAGCTTGGGGGAGAGTTACAGATTTTCCTTATCTTGCCTGGTGGGTTTGAGCCCACCTCATTTTATTTTCTTTTAAATTAAAACTGAGTTTAGGCTAGGTGAGTGAGTGGAGGTTTCAGGAGAATTATTTCTATCCTTTATTTACTTTCAGTGCCAATAAGGATTTTATACTTCTGGCTTGAGACCCCGGTTGTAGCTCATGCGAGTAATGTTGGTTTCTTTACTTTCTGAATTAATCTGAGTAAAGGAACTGTTTTCATTGCCCGACAGTTTTAAAGAACTTCTGTAACATCGTCATTTTTAAATGTATGTCTTTCTATTACTGGCACTCTGTTGGAATGGAATGCATAAGAAGTGTAAGCTACAACTTGTATTTCGAGAACCTTAAAATGCAGTGCAGGAGATAGGGCTCACTTATTATAATAATGACAGTTTAACTTCCTACTTAAAACTCGTGATCCAGAACTCTCCAATTTGTAGAAGCCAGAAATAAGTTGCAGTGGTTATCCTTCCAGTGAACCACAGGAATTGATAGGATACAAGGTAACATGTCAGAATGGTTCCTTAGTTAATTTTACCTAAGATCTATAGTCAAATATGTTCAGTAAGTCATTATGTTCATTGGATTTAATGGTGTTTACTTTGTAGCTGCTGATACTGTATCTTTCAAGGTGCCAGAAAAGCTACGTATGAGCAAAGGAAAAATAAATTTTGAAAAAAAAAAAAAAAAAAAAGTATTTTCTTAAGCACACCTCTTTCCATAAGCTGGAAAGTGTTTGGTTGGATATGCAATTGTGTAAACATTTCTGACTTATGAGGCTGCTCACAGATAATTTTGTATAACATTTTATTGTTGAATACCACCAAATATACATGGGAAATGGTAAAATCAGAAAAGTGACTTGTCCAAGATGATACGGCCAAGAGTTGCCACACCTTGGCTTTAAAACTCATGCTTCCACACTTCAAAGTAATTTCCTCCAAGTCACAGTTACTTGTCAAAAGAGTAAAGAAGTCAATACTATTTTAAAGTAAATTTTAAAGAAGGACATGATATTTAAAATCCGAGGGTTTTAGGGGGCTGGGGATATGGCTCAGCGGCACAGCACCTGCCTGGGAAGTGCAAGGTTGTGAGTTCAATTCCTGGTACCAAAGAAATAGGAACTCTTCTCTACTGCTGGTGTGAGTTAAGACTGGTGAAACCACTGTGGAAATCAGTTTGGAGATCCCTCAGCAAACTAGGTCTAGAGGTCCCATTCAACCCAGCTATTCCCCTTCTGGGTATTTCCCCAGAAGATCTGAAAACATCATATCACAATGATATATGTGCACCCATGTTCATAACAGTGCAAATTGTAATTGCTAAAGCAACCCAAAGTCCATCCACTGAGGAATGGATAAAAAAAAATTGTGGTACTTTTATATAATGGAATATTACTCAGCTATAAAGAAAGATAAACTCGAGGCTTTTACAGATAAATGGTCACAACTAGAGACCATACTCATAAGTGAAATAAGTCAGACCTCCATGTGTAAGCAACATATTATCTCAGTAGTGTAAGAACCTGAAAGAGTGAATAAAAATTAGGAGGTATGACAGACATTGTGAATGCTCAAAAGTAAAGAGCAAGTGGGATTAAGGAAAAGGGAAAAGAAAGAAGGGGAAATTATGTATGTATGTATATACAGGATAGCTAACATAGTTGTACTACCGACTTCTATGGCTTTACTGAAAGGAACAGTTAATGATTACTTATTTGATCCATCTTGCATGTCTCTATCTGTTTTCCTGAGCAACCACTTTGAAGATATCAATATGTAACAGCAACAACCACTGTTAATTTCCTGTCACCTAATCTGTAACTCTGTATTGTTTGTATTATTCTTCTGCTATTTTATGAATGGATCTGTTTGTTAATGTTTTCCTTCTTTTATTTTTAAATAAATTTAAAAACAAGATAAAAGTTCAATAGTAAAATCCAAGGGTTTTAAAAACATGAGTACAGTAGTGGGCTTATAGTTTAGCAAGTTTTCATACTCAGCTCTTCAGTTTTATTCAGTTTAATAAACGTTAAACATCAGATTCTGAAGAGACTTCAGGGACAAGTTAAAGACTTAGAGGTTATGTCGGAGATGATACTGTGTATAACGATAACTAAACAACCCCAAAGGCACACAGACAGAGAGGAGTGGGGAGGGAGAGACAGAGACAGAGAGAAGCATGAGAACACAGTTTTACTGAAATTATTTCAAAAGGCCGAGAAGTAGAGTTCTAAAAGAGGGTGGCGGATTTTGCTAGAGGCAGGAAAAAGCACAAGGCGTTTGGGTACAACTGAATGAACCCGTCCGAGGCTCAGGGTCAGCTTGCAGAGCGGGCGCCTGTCCTTGGTGTCTGTCCATAAGCCCGACTGGCAGAAGATAGGGTTGTGAGAGTCTGAGGAAGACCCTGGATAGCAAGAGGTAGTAATTGTCATTCGTGTAGTAGTTCTGTTTGAAATGCTACAAGAAGAATTACTAAGGAAAAGAGAAAAAAAGCTTTATTGAAAATGGTTCTGCTTGTGGACTGGGCAACTTTTAATGTTCATGACTTCTCTTGAGAAAATTAACAAAACATTTTTAAAAAACATGTCCTTAGGAATGTTCCAAAAGAGCAAATAATGGGAAATTTACGCTTCGGGATTTGCTTGTGGTTCCTATGCAGCGTGTTTTGAAGTACCATCTTCTTCTTCAGGTACGCGACTTCACGTTGTTTGCTTACTGTTCATTTACTTGTTCAACAAATAGCGTGTGAAACACCAGCTGTGTTGCCTGTGCTCTGTAGGTTAGGTCCCATCATCCTCTGATTTTGAATTTTATGTGGCTGTACAGAGATGTTCAAAGTAGCTTTACATCTTTTCTTTTTAGCAAAGATGACTCTGTATTTGCCACACGGTCACATTTTGTCTCTCAAGTGGGACTGGCTAAAGCATAAAAAGGAAAAAGTAAGGCAAAACAGAAATATCCCTTCAACCAAGTTTTCTCTGGTGAGCAGTGATCATTTATTAGGGCTTCAATGCACCCGAGTTTGTGCAGATTAGTCGTATTGGACCCTTAGCCTTACAACAAAAAGCAAGAAGATTGTATCACATTCTGCACTGCTTTCTACGGTGCTAACTTGTAATAAGACTACATCTATTTTGAAGAGATTCTAGTTATAGATAACCCACAAAACTTATGGTTTCCACGGTTCATCCTCTAATGAGGGTGGAGAGTCTTATAAATTTAATTTGATAGCTATACCAGGAGACTCATTAGTTCTGCTCCAAAGAAATGTCTTACTGTATTAGTCTGTCAACTTTGCTGATGCTTGTGAAATGTCATTTTAAAAAGATCTACTACCTGTATGTGAAATATAATTTTGAGTGTGCTGTGTTTTGTACATCTTGTATATTAAATTTCTTGAACTGTAGCCACACAATTATTAGTCATCTCTATTTTTGTTCTACTGAGAAATCAGAAAAATTCAAACCCTGATTATTCCTTAAAAATGCATTAAAACATTTATGAGACCTAAACTCAAAGCAACTTAATCAAATTGGGTTTTATGAAAGAATAATAAGGAAGACTCAGGCAGTCAGCTTCCAAGGCGCTAGGGAACTAAAAACATGTCCAAAACAAGATAATAATTTATTGTGTAACTTAAATGCCATCAAATATTGATTTTGGAGAATTTAGAAGGTGCCATTTTCAAGGAATATCTGTTTTGGTCCCATAGGATTTTGCACGGATTTACAAAACTATAAAACACAGCTATCCTTTTTTAAAACTCATTGAACTTTCCCCCCGAATTTCTCTTGGTTTGTTTTATATTTTAAGATTATATTTAGTTCTCCGGTGAGTTTTTAAAATAGGAAAACTTTTATTTTGGGTACTACATATAGATAGAATGCTAGAAATATTTTTCTGTCTCAAAATAGTGTAAAATAAAATTTGTATGGTGTCTAGACATTTTTTTTTAACAAATCTGGTTATAAATTTTCACATTTTCTATGTGCTACTACACTTCCGTGGGGAAATCACTTTTGAAATGCTTGATGATTTGAAATCACAAGTTTATAAAACTTAGAATATTTTATAGTGATGTGTTAGAAACTTTAAGAATAATTTGCTATTTTCACTTAACAAAGTAAGAGTAAAAATAGAAATTAAAGAACATACTTTTGACCGATTTTTACACTTAGCGGGTTCTTGATCTGTCGGTCTTGCTTAAAACAGAAAACACTACTGGCGCTGAATTCAGTAAAGATATTTTGGATGGTTCCCCTGTGTTAAACACAGTATTAGACACCGTATGACAGCTCTTACACTGGTAAAGTTCACCGTTTAGGAGGGAAAAATGAAATATGTGTCAAGTGTAACACAGGGTGATAGATACATAGAAGAGATGTAAGTGATACAAACGAACGTCTCTAATTATGCTGAAGGAGGCTGGGGAACTGGGTAGACTCCTCAGCTTCCCAGAGGAGTGATCCTTGATTTGATCTTTGAAAGATAATAAGAGTTTGTTAGGTAGGTCAGTAAATAAGAGCGTTCTAAAAAAAGAAAATGGTATTTCTTATGGGAGTTAGATATCAGCATGTGTTTTGAGAATATGTTTAGTAGGAATAGAATGTATGCTGTTGAGTAGACATGGACAGCGAGAAGTTGAGAGAGGTGTGCGGAACTGGGACCATAAGGAGCCTGAGCATCACAGAAGTCCAGATGGGTAGAGAGGCTCTGATTGAACCGATGCCAGTAGCGTGAAGAGAAGTCCAGCAGAAGACTGCTATATTAACCTATTTCAAAATGAGAGAGGAGCTGAACCTAAGTATTAGCTGGGGGGATGGTTTCCAGGAGCCAGGGTAAAAGTACCAGCGGGACACAGTGTGGGAGGGGTGAGCGCAGAGTTTGGGGCACATTTCGGGTTTTGGCTTAAGTGATTACACTGATGGTAATGCCATTATTCAGTCAAACATAAATGGCAAGAAGAGTGAATGTGCCTTAGGTTGCGGGTGTGTTGGATCTGAGGAACCTGGAGATACCCAGGTCGAACTGTTTAGTTGGGTATTTGAGTCGGAGACTTAGGCATGAATGCTGGTGAGCACACTGGAGAGTGACTGCCTCATTAGGGGACAGTTGACATCATAACAGTTGTTGCAGTAGGATTTGTGGAGTTTGTAAACTAAGAATAAGAGAGCATAGGGTGAAAATCTAGGGAGTTAAAACCTTCTGTGGTGCAGATTAAGAGGAAACTATGAAAGGCGAAGGAATAGGCAGAAATTTAGGAATTGTAAAGAAACGAGAACCACAGGGACAATAGAGCATCCTGGTGTCCCTGAAGTGAAGGGCGATTTGGTCATCAGAATCAAAGCCTGTGGAGAATTCCTGTGTGATGGTGTGTGAAAGGGACCGATTCAGTTAACATGAGGAAAGTTGTCATAATTGGGGCTCAGCTTAGAGTAACAGTGGGGGCAGTGAAATCAGAGTTGTCTGTGAAAGGAAAGTACTTGCAAGTACATTGCATGTTCTTTTGCTGTCTGGTTTGTCTTCTTGCAGTTTGATGCGTTGGATGAACACACAGCCTAGTTTCATTAAGTTTATCATATCGTTGAGAGTATGATAATAAGGGTCATTCGTTCATTCATTCATTCACGCATGCATGCATTTGGCGATACTGAGATTTGAACACAGGGCCTTCACATCCCCAGCCCTTTCTGTTGTTACCTTTTATTTTGAGAGATGGTCCAGCTAAGTTGCCCAGATTGGGCTTGGACTTCCTGTATTCCTGCCTCAGCCTCCCAGAATGCTGAGATTACAGGCTTGTGCCATCACACCTGGCTAAAAAATGTTTTATGACTTACGTGTCAGTTTTGATTCAATGAAAGTAGCTCAGTACTAACCTGTATCTGTCCCACAGGAGCTCGTCAAACATACCACTGATCCTGTTGAAAAGGCAAACCTGAAGCTGGCTCTTGACGCTATGAAGGTAAGGCAAATGTGTCAGTACCTTATTTGTGTTACTATATTCTAGCCTACAAACAGTAGAATTATAACTGTTAATGTGCGTATATCCCACACATTTATTTTTGGAGAGGAAAATAGTATAACTTTTACTGGCATCGATATTCTTGCATGGATTGAATTGTAGGACAAAAGCACATAAATCCAAGAGGTGTATTAAAATACTTTTGTACAAGTTTGCCAACTTTTATAACTACCCAGAATAGTTGAATAACTGGTTTTATTTCATATTCGTTTTTAGAAAACTGCTGCTTTGTGTAAACATTAGGTCAGTGGGTGGCTTCAGAAATACCTGTGGGACTCATTGTCCTCAGTTGAGCTTGTCTACTGGGTTTACCTATGTGGGTGCTGTCTGTATAGCATATGAGTCAATCTCAGCTTGTATTTATATTTTCAGTGAAATCTGACAAATCAAGAAACAGGAAAATAAAAGACATTTTGAACATATTACTGAATATGTAAAATGCCAGTTTCTACATAACTTTGAAAAAAACTAATATTTGCCTGTAACTTAAAACAAAAGCAAATATTTGTTCTTTAAAGCAAAATAATATGACCAGGCTCAGAGAAATGTATAATCACCTACTCAGTGTCAGTACTGGCTTTGCTGTTGAGCCGATTTTAATATCACTACCAGGAAACATCACACAAGTATTTGCTATTTCAACCATGGTCATGTGAGGTTTCTTACTTGTAATGAAGTCATTATTGGACGCAGCCTATTTAGGAGGAATTTGGGAACTGTTTGTGTAGAGCTGTGTTCTTCCTGTTGCAAATGAATTTAAGGTGGAGAAAAAGAAAAACCTCACAAAACAGAGAATCTGGAGCACAGGTAATAAAAATAGCCAGTTACAGTATGAGAACATTAGGTAATGTTTCCTCAAATACAAGAAAAGCCATTTTAAAATAGGTGAAGGCCCGTGAAAAACATGGGCGGCGTTTTTTATTCACCTTGGTTCAGTTTTTTGCTGTTTAGCTCTTACCTGTCCTTTGTTTCTCCTTTATTTTTTAAAATTCAACCAGCCCCTCCTTGACTGAACGTTCTCAGGAACTAATAAGGTGCAGAAACGGGTCTTGCTTAGGTTCGTGGTATAAAATTTAGTTACTTTTGGTCTCCCTGCCAATCGTTCATTCTTGCCTTTAGTCCAACCTGAATAAAAATGTAATTCTTTCAAGGTCAGGTGGATCTCCTCCTGCTGACCTAGTTTCCGCGTTGCTGCTCTGCACAGCAGCAGATTGTGTTTTTGTTTCTTCACTTCAGGCAGCGCCATCCTCCCTGCGCTCAGGGCTGTGGTAAATGACAACCCTTCAGTCTCCCCAGCTGGACTCTGGGACATTTTTTAATTGTTGCTGACATGCAGCTTTGATTGATGGGATGTTCATTTTGTTGTTGTTGGAAAGTTACGGTAGTTACTTTTACCTCTCGTGGAACTAACGATGCGTTTTCCTTCAGAGCAGTTTGCGTCTCTCCTCTAATCCTATTGTGCCTTCCTTCGCACCCTTCCCTTTGTGCTTTAGGACTTGGCGCAGTATGTGAATGAAGTGAAAAGAGATAACGAGACCCTGCGTGAAATTAAGCAGTTCCAGCTGTCTATAGAGAATCTGGTAGGTGACTATCTTTCCTCCAGCTCCCCCCACCCCCATATGGGGGGAACATTCTAAGAGCTGCTGTTGAAGTAAAGATGCACTTACCTTCAAGTTTCTGTCGTTTGTCTGGGTTTGCTCCCCTAAGCCCTCTGTTGGGCGGCAGTCAAATGGATGCGTAGTGGCCCCGTTGCTCGTCACTGTCCAGAGACGTTTACCGTTGTTGGTGTCTCTCCCTCTCATGCTCTGCCTCTTCTGTAGTCTGAATTCCAAACACTGGAGCCCGCCTTCGTCTTCTCTTGCCCTCAGCCCCTACATACTCAGTCCACGTGGGTTCTTCTGTGTACCAGAAACGTGGCTTGGCCAAGCCTGCACCTGTGCGGAAGGGGGTCTCCTGACTGAAGGGACAGGCAGAGGAGAGCTCTAAACTGTCAGAGTGAGGTTAGAGCTGTCATCGTGAGAGCTGCCCCTGCAGACGTGACAGGAGGTTCTCGTTTAGATAGGACAAGCTAGAAAAAGCCGTCTGGATCATGTTTCATTTGAATTAGAACCTAAGAGATCAGAGGTCACAGGAAGTTCTTGGGGTGCAGAGACCCAGGTGGAAGTCTCAGCAGGTGACACGGCCGCCCTCCCGCTGCAGAGGCCTCCAGCCGTGCTTCCCTTCCAGCTCCTCAACACACACGTCACCTGCTGAGACTTCCACCCAGATCTCCCAGCAGCCTCTGGTGATCTGTCCATATAATAAAAGTTCTAAAATCCGGTCGCTCGGTTCACCCTCTTTCCTCGGCTCGTCAAGGTTCTGGTGCTGCCATTATTCAGTCAGCATTCCTTAGGCGTCTTTAAGACCCTTCATTATCTGGCTTTAAGCTGTTTTCCTCAACTCAAGCCAGCAGATGATTGCCCATCATGTTTTGTATCAACTGTATTTTATATTGTGGATATTCCGTTGTATTTATTATAAAGTCTCCAGCTTGCAATTTCTGCCTTTAATTATAATCACCTCGCAGAGCCTAGCAGTGGTGGCGAACCTTGTAACGGTACAAACAGCCCACTGCAGCACAGGTGCCAAAGGTTCGCCACCGCTGGCCTAGATTATCTTTGCTGTTATTCCCTATAAAATTCCTCCAAGGTTCAGCTAATATAAATCCCTTTTCCTAATCTCTCATTATCCCTTTCTGTTTGGAATTCTGTAGCATATTCCCTGGACAGCTATGTAGCATTAAAACTTGTACTAAAATATACGCATATTAAATTTACCATTTTAAATGGTAAACGTAGCATTAAGTGCCTTCACAGTGCTGTGAAACCATTGCTGCCATCCATCCCAGAGCGCTCATTCTGCACAGCAGGAAGTCCGCGCTCATCACGCAGACTCCATTTCCTCCCGCTCAGCCCTTGGCAGCCACCGTCCACCTTCACTGTACCAAGGTGGCCATGACCGCGTCAGGTGCCTCACAGAGATGTGATCACACAGTTCTTCTTTTGTGACTGATTTTAGGTACCTTAATGTCTTCAGGGTTTATCCGTGTTGTAGCATATGACAAAAATTTCCTTTTTCTTTCTAAAATTTCTGTCTTTTAAAGTCTGAATAATACACGATGGTGTGTGTAGTCCCCCATGTTTGTGTATGTGTACATCGCTTGTGCAGCCATCCATGCACATTTGGGTCACTTCTTTCAACCCTAGTGAGGGATGTATGTAGGAGTGTCAGTATCTGTTCCAGAGCCTGCTTCACCTTCTTTTGGTTATGTAGCGATAAGTAGAGTTTCTTGATTATATGGCAATTCTGTGTTTAAATTTTTAGGAATTTCATACCGCTTTCCATAACAGCTACATCATTTTTTATTCCTGTTACAAATGAATGGGGGGGGGTCCATTTTCTGCGTGTTTTTACCAGCACTTGTTCAGTTTTGGTTAATATATATATTTTTTTATAAATGGATGTCCTAATGAATGTAAAATAGTGTCCCTTTGTGGTTTTGACTTGCATTTTCCTAGTCATTGATGATATGGACATTTTTTCATGTGTTCATTGGTTGTTTGTATATCTTTTTTAGAGATATCTATTCAAATGCTTTGGCCATTTTTGAATCAAGTTGTTTTCTTTTTCTTGAAGTTGTAGTTCTTTTTCCTTTTTTTTTTTTTTTTTTTTGGTTCAGGGTTTCACTGTGTAGAGCAGAATGGCCTTAAAAACTCACTTTGAAGCTCAGGGTGGCCTCGAACTCACAGCGATCCTCCTGCCTCAGCCTCTCCGAGGATTACAGCCCTACACTGCCACAACTGGCCTGAATTTGTAGTTCTTTACATATATCCCACCTACCAGTTTCTTGCTAGAAAGATGGTTTGCACATACTTTATTCTCTGGGTTGCCTTTTTACTTTGTTTCCTTGAGGCACAAAAGTTTTACATTTTGATGAAATCCAATTTATCATCTTTTTTGTTGCTTATGCTTGTGGTGTTATATCCAAGAAATCTTTGCTGAATCCAGTGACATAAATTTTCCATTGTCTTGTAAGATTTAGGGTTTGGATCTAGTTTGAATAAATCCATATATGGTATAAAGGAGAAGCTGAACTTTATCCTATTCCACGTGGCTGTCCAGTTTTCCTAGCACCCTTTGTTGAAAAGCTGTGCTTTCCCCATTGAATGCCTTGGCAGCCTGTTGAAAATAATTTCGACCATATATGTGAAGGCTTCTTTCTTTGATCGCTTTGGTCTGTATGTTTGTCTGTATGCCAGCGCCACACTGTTGCAATCATTGTAGCTTTGGAGGAAGTTTTGAAATTAGGAAGTATGAGATACTCAACTTTGTTCTTTTTTCAAGATTATCTTGGCTGATTCAGGGTCTTTTGAAGACCCATATCAATTTTGGGGTGAAATTTACTATTTCTGCAAAAAAAAATCATTGGGATTTTGATAGGGGACATTTATTGTTATACTTCCTTATAAGAGTTCATTAATCACACATCTCGGGGCTGGGGATTTAGCTCAGCGGCAAAAGCGCCTGCCTGGCAAGTGCAAGGTCGTGAGTTCGGTTCCTGGTACCGGAGAAAAACCAAAAAAAAAAAAAAAAAAAAAAATCACACATCTCTGCCCTGTTTGACCAAAGAATCTTTAGATGTTAGTGATAGTACTCAGTTCAATTGTCTTTTAGCCAGTGCAGTAAGTACTCATAAATGTTTAAAAAATTTGATTGTGTACTTTTGGGGAAATAGATCATTATTTTTATTCATTAAGCCAGAAATTTTCATTTTTGAGACCTAAACTCAAGGCAGCAACCCCTGACTCTCTAGACCGGATTGGGTCCCTGTCCTGTATGCTTCCGTGGAGGCTGTCTGCATTTACAATTGAGTACTTACTCTACCATAGGACGGTGTGTTCCATGAGGGCAGGGTCCGTATCATTTTATCCTGTGTCTGTTATAGTGGGGACACAAAGTAGATGTTTAACAGGCATTAGTACCTAGAATTTTTTTTGTGATTCATATTACTCTAGTTATTTATTTCTTCTGGTGTTTAACTTCCCATTTAAGATTATAAATAAAATTGATTAACGTCCCTGGTAAAGGCCGGGGTATACAAAGGTCTGATGGCTTTTGATAGTGTGTCGTACAGTCCTGAGCTTTTAGAGAGTGTGTGCTAAAACTGTATAAAAATTTACGGTGTAGTACAATAGCTGTCCTGCGGAAATGTCTTCACTAATGTTGCTGTTTCTATGTTATGAAAAGCTCAGATGTACATTTGTATTTTAGAATCAACCAGTGTTACTCTTCGGACGACCTCAGGGAGATGGTGAAATTCGAATAACCACTCTGGACAAACATACAAAACAAGAAAGGTGAGAAGAGAAGACAAATACTTATTTTCAAAACAAATAGAATCAGAATTTTAAGAAAACCTTAAAACCATTTTTGAGGTTGAAGTGGCGGGGTGGGATGGGGGAACAAGAGGATAGGCCCGCGATGGCTCCTAAAATTTTCTCTTATAGATATTGTAGTTATCTCTCTTTTCTGCTCTGGTATGTGTTGATTTTAGTACGTTCTTAAGAATAAAATGAAAAATATAGAAGAGAAGATCAGCCAAGTTTAAACATACACATTAAAATGATAATGGAGATGAAGTAACCATAAAAACATCAATGATTTCTTTGGTGTGTACTTTAAAATAAGTGGGAATAGAAATGTCAGAAAGAATAATTGAGAACTATGTAGTAATCAGTTTTTCTCGAGGGAAATTTGTAGGAGTCTTTCAGAATTACTAAGCTGGGCCTGGAGTCTTTAAATAAATAAACGCACACGCACACACTCACACACACACACACGCACGCACACATATGTGGTTATCAAACTGATGCTTTTGTAGTTTTCTGGAATCCTCGGAGAAGACAGTATGGGCCAGCAGGGGGCAGCATCAGCTCTTACTTCCACTGTGACACCCTTGTTCTGCAGGCAGCTCTCAGGAGATACATGGCCTTTAATCCACAGGCTTTAAAAGTGACAGAAGTCTTAGAGCTCTGTGTGTATATCATTGTCATCACTGTGTGACTAATATGCGTGTCACGGTCTGAGAGTTTATGAAAATATATTAATATTGTTATCGCAGGATAGTGTGTAAGGTTTGACTTCTTCCACCAATTTCCATTGTTTTTAACAAGAAAGAAAAAAAAGGAACAAAGGAGAAATTTAACCAGATGTTCTCTTGTTTATATTTTCTTCATACACACAGTTCATGTTCCCGGTGGTCCGTTAAATCATAAAGAATAACATAGAAAGAGTAAAAGGGTTGGTTTGAAAAATGTGACCTGGGTGTGACTTTTGCTCTGCACCTCACTGGCAGTGTGACCTTGAGCAGATTGTCTAACTTGGGTAAACTTTGATTTGCTCCCCAATAAGGTGAGGATGGTGATCCCACCTAACCAGCAGGGCCCTGGGGGCATAACTGGGACCCTCCTTGTGAGAGGGTCGACCCCTTCCTTTTCACAGCATTCTGACCTACTATGAGGAACTTAGTTCACGTTAGCTGCTATTTTGCTGAGATTTGGTTTTTAAATTAAGAAGTAATTGCTTATGAAAAAGCTCTGTGTTGTAAATTAACTTGGACCTTTCAAGCACTCTGCACTGTATGTCTCACTGTATGATTTTGCCTGCTTTTTTTGTTTGTTTTTTTCCGGTACGGGGAATCGAACTCACGACCTTGCGCTTGCCAGGCAGGCGCTGTGCCGCTGAGCTAAATCCCCAGCCCCTGCTTTTTAAATTAGGAAACCTGGGTGTGAGAGGCCATTTCGTGGTCAGGGGCAGTGCCTGGGTGCGCACATTCATAAAATGGCAGGCCCCTCGTTCCTTTCAACCTCGGACATCGCCTGTTGTCTTTAACGCAAAGCAAGCATATCTGGTCGGTGTAATCACATCTTCTCAGGAAAAGATGAATACACAAGCTCCAGCCAGCCTCTCTTCTCTCTCTCTCTCTCTCTCACAGGCATATCTTCTTATTTGACCTGGCAGTGATTGTGTGTAAAAGGAGAGGCGATAACTATGAAATGAAGGAAATCATAGATCTCCAGCAGTACAAGATAGCCAACAACCCTACGACTGACAAAGAAAATAAGAAGGTGACTTCTTGGACACTGATGCGTATGACTTCCTCATAACACTGAATATTCAGGAAAATTATGCTACTGCAGCCGCCCCTTTCCACCACTGTGGATACCAAAATCTGTGGGTGCTGAAGTTTGTTAAGTAAAACGGCATGTTTGCACGTGCCCTATGCATAACCTCTTGTATAATTTGAATCATCTCTAGAATATTTATAATACCAAACACAGTGTAATTTCTGTGGAAATAGCTATATTGCATTCGTTAGGGACAGTGACAAGAAAAAAGTCTGTATACCTTCAATGCAGGTGCAGTTTTAAAAAATAGTTTCCACTCATGCTTGGCTAAATCCGGGGCTACGGAGCTCATGAACACAGAGTCCCACTTGTCCCCGAGTGTGGGAGGCGGCTTATTGGCACAGGTGCTCCGGCATAGACATTGCTTAGGTGCAGGCCTCTGTGAGCGTCGTTGGCCAGTGCCACGTCTGCTCTGACCATCTCCAGTGCTGCCGTAAAATGCACTTGTTATAGAGAAGAAGTTGACTACAGGAACAAGTTGGATTGTTCAGTTTATAGATTGAAAATGTCGTGAGGGGGCTTTCAGATGGGTGTAGTGATGATTTAATGAATTTCAAAACATGATATTTTTAATATGTGATACATATTAACCCACAGAATGTTAATTTTAACAGTGGTCTTATGGCTTCTACCTCATCCATACCCAAGGACAAAATGGGTTGGAATTTTATTGCAAAACAAAAGATTTAAAGAAAAAATGGCTGGAACAGTTTGAAATGGCTTTGTGAGTATTTCTATTTTTAAAGGCTCTTTTTTTCCTACTATTGAAATCATTTATGAATAATGAACAAGCAGTGTACTCCAATGCTTGCAGCATGTGTGCGGAGGCTCCGGGAGAGGCTGCCTGGCCGTTCCCTTGGTAACTTGCTTTCTCCTAGGAGAGGCTTTCAGTGGATTTCTCCAAAAGGAAGAAAGAGGGAGCTCTAACCTTCTGTTTGACTTTCTTCTCCTAGGAATATTTAATTATTTAGCTTTCAGCAGCTCAAGAAAGTGTGCATTATTCTAATGATAAATTGTTAATGGAATCACTGTTGTTATATATCTTTAAACTAAATACACATACTCTCCACATACAGACGTGTGCAGATGTGAATGTATCTTTGAAAGATTTATTTCTTTTTTCCATTTTAAGCCCATTTATTGTTGAAATGCTGGCTAACTTGTGGTGGTACTCAGTGAATGCTTTAAGGGCTTGATTTCTTTCTGTGTACTTTCCTTTATTAAAGCCAAAGCTTCAACAAAGAGGTAGGAAATAAAACAGACCTGTTTACAAAAGAAATGGCATACAGAGCTGTAATTACCCAAGAACATGTCACTCTAGGTGTTCCTTTTTAGTTTAGATGTTTACAAATTAAAAGGGCCATACAAACCCTCATTGTGGAAACATATTGGTTGTCCTGAAATGAAACTAGTTAGCAAAGTGTGGAATTAAGGAAAAACGCTTTTGTGATTTATTTCATTTGTGTTCTAGCATTAATTACCTTTGGTTGACAAATTCTATCAAATTTTCTTGTTTTTGTTTTAAGAAACGCTCTTGCTAATAAGTAGAGGTGTGAGTGAAATGTTTTATTGCAGTTCAGAAAAGATGGAAATAAAGATTCTCTTAATATTATCTAGTATTTTGAGAAATAGGATTATGTCACTAAATATTTTTAAGGGTATAGACATTGCTAGATTTCATTATAATCAGTTCCATGAGCTGCCTGAGAATCTGAAGTTATTTAGCTTCTGTGAGCCTCAGTCTCCTCTGTAAAATGTTTTTATATTTATTTTGACGTCCAAATAATATGTCTCAAGCAGAGTGCTAGCCACAGTCATATGATATTAGTTGATAGGTGATACCTATTGTTACTGTTATTATTAATATTTTATATTAGGATTCTAGTTTACTTATGAATACTTAGCAAACTAAAGAGTCTTCTAGTCTGCTACTGTAGTCCTTATAATTTATTGTTATTCGTTGTAGTAGTTGCACAAAAGAAGCTAGTAGTTGTGTGCCCTGGTGCAGTGCCTGTATAACGGGGCCGCTTCTGGTTTGGGGGAGAAGCAGTGGAGCCACTGAGCTGCACCCAGCCCGTGGTCGGTGGTGGGCTGCGGCAGACCGCTAGCGTTCTTTCAGTGTGCCGCTGCGAGTTGGACACATGGAGTGGGAGGGACAGGAGGCTGGGGTTAGTGAGAACGGGCACAGGCAGGGCTGCTGTCAGGCTTTTGTTCTTATGGAAGGCGCTAGACCAGCATTTCCCACTGGATCTGTGTGGCTGCGGACTCTTCGGGTGAGTGAAGTGTCGTCTTTACTCCTGCGGACGAGTAACGCTAAATTTCTCGTGCCGGAGCAGGCAGATTCCTTGGACCCGGTGTTAGACAATATCATTAACTATTATTTAGAGTTACCATAAATCAAATAGTGAATCTTTAATAGAAGAAACTTGATGAAATAATGCTTGTGTCTCTTTCACGTAAACGAATCTGGGCTGGGTGGAGTACGGCCTAGGTGTGGCGCCTCCCTGGGGTACCGTCAGGGCTCAGGCCTGTGTCTTCTTGCTCTGCCATCATCAGCATTTAGTTTCTGACCTCAGTGCTGGTCAGATAGCTGTGGGAACTCTAGCTAGAAAATGTGCATTCTAAGTGGTGGAAGGTGGCCCTTCGCTTTTAAGGGTCCTTTGGTAACACATATTTCTGTTACCTAATACTCACCAGAACTTGCTCTTGAGGCCACATCTTCCTGGGAGACCGGAGTTAAAGTTTTTATTCCAGGCAGGATTGTGCCTGGCTTAGGACCAGGGTTCTCTTACTGTAGAAGAAGGGAAAGGGTAGTTGCAAGAAGCCGCCACTGCCGTGTAGGTATGTATACGCAGGAATGGGGATAGATTGCACAGTAAGGGTGACCGCAGCAACACGAGCAAGGAACCCGTGTTCTTCATCTTTATTGTCTAAGCATCTCAACAACGTAGTGAAACGTCAGTGGATGTGGTTTTGTGTTTTAGAGTTCTGTGGGCTGTCCGTGCATGTCCATTTTCTGTTGCATTTGTTTGGCTGTGTAATCTTTAGCAATAATTTGGAAGTACTATCTGGCAGACCTGAGGCTGAGAGCGTCTGTAAGCGGGGATTATGCCATGTGTGATAAAATAAAATCACAGAGAATAAAAGAAGACTAAGAAATCCTACAGCATGGACGGGAACCAGGACAACAGGAGGAACAGCAAGCCTTGTCCCTCCAGTGTCCTCACTGTGGGTCCCAGAAGCCTCTATAGAACTGGAAACATGTTTTTTTCAGGAAAAGGAAAGTGGCAAGTGCTTTTTCAGGAAAGGGAGCCCTTGGGGGAGGGTGACCAAGGGAGTCAGCATTTCTCAAGGCTGACGAACCGTTTCCTAGTTCTGTTTACAGAAGAGATTCCACTGATAGGATGACTGGATCATTTTTATTTAAAATCATTCCAGATCACCTCTGGAGCACTTGAAATACTGCTCTTAATTTAGAACATTAAAAAAAGGCCATAGAAGAGCATGAATACCAAAACCACTAAGGATCCTGCAACCACAAATCACCTCCCCAGCGGTGACCTAAATCTCAGCCTCTGTCTTTTCCCAAGCACACCCCCATCCTTGCTTTGCCTTTGGCCATAAGCACTTCTAGCCTTTAAAATATGCAGCAAACCACATTAGAACTTGGCAACCACCGGAAGGAAGGCTGAGCAGAGAGGAAGCAGCAGTGACCCAGTTGGACACAGCAGGAGGAAGGAGCTGTTTCTTTTTCCCTGCGAGAAGAGGAACCAGGACTAACCCTCTTGAGGTTGCTGGAGCCAAATGATGTTGAGGAGGTGTAGTGCAGGGGAGCTGAGTCTAAAGAATACATTTAAATCTTTAAGACGCTGATCACCATGCATTGCTTACTTTTATTTATTCCCAAAGGGCATTTTGTTGTCAAAGGTCTTCATAATTCCGTTCAGTCAACCGTGAAATAAGAGGGCAAATATTTTTATCGGGTTAAGCTGGTTTTCATAGTGATGGTGGAAAATGTGGATATGTGTGCCTATATCAGTGTTCAGGCAACTGTGGATATGTTTCTCTCAAATCCCTTACATACGTTTTTATGAATTTTCTGACTGTACTTAAATTAATAGACTTTATCATATCCATTTTATAGCTCAGGAAACTGCTAATCACAGGTGCATCTCAGCAAATTTGGACAAAGTCCATGGCATATAATTTGCAGTAGAGCTTAGGATCTCATGGCTTCATAGGGTTTTCTTTGTCCTTGAGGTTGCTAAAATAAGTAACTGGTCTCAAATCTTGTCATCTAGAATGAAGTCAGTGTTTTTTTTGTGGTGGTCGTTACTTGTTTTTGCTTTCACTGACTAGGATGTAGGGGTTAGGCGATTTCCTTAACTGTCCAGGAGTAAGTCAAAATGGGGTAAAATATGAAAAAAATAAGTGGAATAATAGAAGGTCTTTTAAAAGAGAAGAGTTGTAAAGAAAAAGGAAAGACCAGATTGGAGGGGAAAAGGAGTCACTGTATAGGGAAGCGAAGTGCCACTCCTTCCCAGACCCAGTGCTTTTTGAGGGGAGATGAAAAGGTCCTCTGGCCTGCAATTTCTTCACCAACTGGACCCACTTCCTGAAGTTTTAGCAATTCACATTTGCTTCCTTGAATGAAGAAAGCTCCCTTGGAAATGAGTATACCATTATCGCTGCCGCAGTCTCGATCTCCCGACTGTGTGTTATAAGTCAGACTCGGTGCTACAGGGATTACCTAAGGAGAACTGGCACAGGAGTCGGTCATGTCGGCTGAAGTATCCGCCCAGGATATTTAGCTGATAAACCCTGGACTCACTGTCGTGGGAAAAGAGGTTAGGAATGGGGGATGGAGATTCGAGAGCTGAGGGGGTGCTCTGGGACCAGGCTTCCCTATCATGGTAGCCTTCGGAGGGACAGCCTCTGTCTGACCCTTTGTTTCCCAGGATGAGCCCTGGGCTGGGAGCTGCAGAGGCCAGAACCTAGCCGCTGATCTTCACAAATTGCATTCCATCTGAAGTGCAGGGTTGCTTTCTGCTTTCCGCTCTGACTACCTCCAGAAGGGATTGGAAGTACCTCACAGTCAAGAACACATGCCCCAGCATTGAAAAGAAAGATGTAAATAAGAAGAGGTCAAATAAAGCGGTCTTTCCATGCTTTCCTTCCAGCTTGGGCTCCACCAGGGAACAGCATTGCCTTGAAATTTGTTTTCTAGCGTAAGGCCCTGAGTTTGATGCCCAGTACCAAAAAACAAAAAAAAGTATTTTCTGTATCTTGTGTTATACAAGCAATAAGCATTTCTAGTCACATTTCTAACACAAAATTATATTTCATCAAACATGATTTGTTTTAAAGATATTCTGAATACTGGGAGAGATAATTACCAGAGAAAGTTTTATTCATTCTGCAAATATTTATTGAGTATTCCCTTGTTGCTAGAGACTGTTGAAAACCCTGACCGTATAACAGTGAAGAAGCTATGGCAACTAAATAGAGATATTCTTATTTCTAAATATACTAGTGCTCAGTTAATATATAGTGAATTAAAGCTCAAGACTGAACTCTTGATATTTCTGCCCAAATTAATCTCTTCCTCCCACCTACATGCTCAAACATCAAGAGAGGGAGGCTCGAGAACCGACATAGCCATTTCCCTTCAGCTGTAACCGTTCTCTTTGACCCAGCTCTTCAGATTCAAACTGACCGCTCGCT